AATGGGAACAGTTATAATGGAAATGTGGAGAATGGTAGTCAGCACTGTGAGCATGGAAAGCGTCCTCTGGAGCAGGATGACCATGGATACTGATTTAGTTTCTGGTTCGTCTCTCTCTCTCTCTCTTTTTGGTTCATGATTGTCGTATTACAACTTCCAAAATAGAAATAGGTATATTTCTACTACTACGACCAGCCATTCGGTAAATGTAGCTTACTGCCCATTTTCCACTGTGCAGGTGGTGTGCAGGTTCACAATTCTAGGATATGGAATGTGAATATCTTTTTTTTTTTTAACCCGTCCTTTTTTATTCCCTTCATGGTGCTTGATTGTGTGACTCCATATTGGTCGTAAAAGTATGCTGCTCTTATTTTATTTTTGGCTTCCTACTTAGAAGAAAGAAAGAAAAAAAATGCTTTAAACAAGGAGTCAAAATGCTTAAACTAGTCTATAGCTTTTCTCCTACTCATTTATGATTAGATAAAAGCATGCAGATTTTTTTCTCTAGGTAAAAACCCTTTATAATGGTCTTGATTTCCTCTGACCTTTAAATTCAAATTTTGTACTTCTCTTCTTGCTATTTTGCCTATTGACATAAGATCAACTCTTTGGATGCTTTTCAACTCTTAGAATCACACCAAATTTAGGTGGGGTTTAGTTTGTATCCGTTAATCTGCCTTTTCAACTCTTGATTTAGCTCAGCATTTTGCAATCAGTGTATGCATCGATTTTGTTTTTGAGTGCATTTAGTGCCTTTGTGTGTGGGTGTTTATGTACGGTCAGGTACTTACTCTTGTGATCATCGCACATCCAGGCTGTTGAACACCAAAATTGATCGTTCTGATTGGGTTTTGTCTCTGAAGAACTCTCATTTATTTCACCCCATCTTGAATTTCCTTGCTTTAAAAGCCATTTTATCTTATGAAGTTTATTGAGTTTTGCAGGTTCAGGAATCCCTGCTTCTCAGAATTGAGCCATTAGTTTACTTGCAGCTTGTAATAATGGGATTTGTTTACAGGACGTGGGATGCATGCCACAGAAGCTTTAAGCTCTAAGATGGAAGACAAGGAAGGAGCCGGCAGCAACCATGTATTTCTTTCGTACCTGGTTGTTGAAGGTTATCTATCTTGTATTTTATGTCTCAGGCTAGTAGCAGTTGCAGCAATGGTTTCTTGTGCTTTAGCTAGTTAGTTTGTTCCTAGGCTTCTATTCTGTTTTGTTTGGACTATGTTATTTTTATGTTCTGCTCTATTTTCCGTTTAATTCGGTTTGAAGAATTGCTATTAGAGTATTTAGGCTTGTAATAATGGATCTTAATTTATGTCACTATTGCAATCATTGTTATGGCATAGCGAATTTGAGAATAATGGTTTGCAGGCCGTTTATTAAGCAGGAGTCCATCATTGATCAGTTAATCTGAAAGGAGCTCGATTTTCGTTAAATAAGATATTGAGTTCGAGTTTCGTGAATAGAGAAATAAGCATTTAGAGAGTTTTTTCTTAATGATGTAATTCGATTCTGAATTAATCGGAACTTTATGATTATTAGATAGTGGGAGGTTAATACTAAAAAATAAAGCAAGAATTCACTTTTTTTTTTTTAATTGTAAATGACTAAAATGATATAAACAAAACAATTAATTTAAATAAAGAAATCCTTAACAATTTACAACGTATTTGAGTCAGTAGCAACAAATATGGATTGAATGGGAGGGAGGAAGAAAAAAAAAAAGGCACTTTTAAGTGATTTGATTTTCTTCTCTAAACTAGTGAATATCTTATCGATTTTTTCATTTTGCTGATGGTTAAACAAAAAGAAGACAATTTTTCTTCATTTAGGCCTTATTCTGAATTGTTGTGGTCGTGGCAGTCACGCGTTTTTTTTACTTTTATTATTATTTAAAAACATATATTTAGTAAAAATAATTAAGAATAAATTTGTTATCCTCTCAAAAAAAAAAAGAATAATAAATTTATATTTTTAAATGAAATATTTTTTTTTTAGATTTAATTGTCTTTTTTTTTTTTTTTTTTTTTAACAAGTGCAATTTAAGAACTAAGGAGATAAAAAATTGTAATATGTTAATTTTATGACTTAAATTTTCATTTTTATCAAAGTATTAAATATACTAATAACGGGTATATGAAATCTGGCGAGAAGTAGCAGCCCATGTTTTTCTCGACATCAACAGGGAAAAAAAAAAAAAAAAAGCTACCATACTTCCAAGGGCATATCAGTAAATTGACATTGCATTGCTATTTCAGTGACAGATATGCCCTTGCCGAATAAATAAAAAATTAGCCCACAGCTGTTGTGGGTAACTTGGTAGAGTTAAAGTTCCAATCTTTAAATGCACAGCAAAATCGGCTACTCAAAAAGGTAAATCAAATACGAGTAATTATAGTGTAATTAGGACCTGAAAGGCGGAAATGGACTATAAAAGACATACTTCTCTCTATGTCTGTTGCCCTGCTTCCCTCAGTTCCCCCCTTTTCACTCCCCATCTCTCTGTTGCTTTCCTTCAACAACTCTCTCTGTCTCTGTTTCCAGCATTGCAAGCACAGAGCAATTCTCCTTTGATTTCCCTATCTGGGTCAAGAGAGAAAAAGGGGAGAGTCAGATTTGATTGGATTTTTTTTATTATCTTTCTTGATTTGTTTCCATGTAATTTTTGATTTCTGCCAAGTTATATACAGCTCTCAATTAGGACTACATTGTTAAGGAAAAACCCAACAGAGATCTGTCGTCCTTTCCCTGTTTTTGGTTTTGAGAAAGCAGCCAGTTTAACCATCCCATCCTCTGTTTTCCTCTGTTTTTTCTCTGCTCTGCTCTGCTGAGATAGAGAGAGATAGAGATGGCTGAAAATTCACCCAAAATCTTGATACCAGAGTCATTTCAGGTGTCCAGAGATGACATTACAGGGCAACTAAGTTTAATTTGGGAGCTAATCAAAGCCCCATTGATTGTTCCTCTGCTGAAACTTGGGGTTTACATTTGCTTGGCCATGTCTCTCATGCTGTTCATGGAAAGGCTTTACATGGGTGTTGTCATTATCCTTGTAAAGCTTTTCTGGAAGAAACCAGAAAAGAGATACAAGTTTGAGCCGATACAGGACGATGAGGAACTCGGGAACTCAAATTTCCCTGTAGTTCTTGTGCAAATCCCAATGTACAATGAAAAAGAGGTCAGTTTCTCTCTGTTTTTGCTCTGTTGTTTTTGATTTGTGGGATTTTGAGAAAGGCTCAAAATTTTGATGCTTTTGTCCTCTCTTGAACAGGTTTACAAGATCTCCATTGGAGCTGCTTGTGGACTTTCATGGCCATCCGATCGTCTCGTGATCCAAGTCCTCGACGATTCAACTGACCCTGTTATCAAGGTACCTCCAAAGTCCAATCCACTCCATAATCTTTCACTTCCTAAATGTTCCTAATTGCTTTCCTTTTTTAATCTTTCTGATTCCTAAGACTGATTCCCTTAGTGTTAGTGGGTCATGTAAAATGGTAAATAAAAAACACTTTTTTAGGAAAATTAATGAAATATATATATCTGGGTGTTTCCCCTTTTTTTTCTTTAAATTATGTTCAAAAATGGTGTTATAATTTGCTTGATTGATGCAGCAAATGGTGGAGCAAGAGTGTCAAAGGTGGGCAAGTAAAGGCGTAAACGTAGTGTACCAAATCAGAGAGACCAGAGGGGGCTACAAAGCCGGCGCCCTTAAAGAAGGCCTGAAGAGAAGCTACGTGAAACACTGCGAATACGTCGCCATCATCGACGCCGACTTCCGACCGGAGCCAGACTTCCTCCGGCGAAGCATTCCTTTCCTGGTCCACAATCCTGACATTGCACTGGTTCAAGCTCGCTGGAGATTCGGTAATTCTAGCTTAATCCTAGCTGTTAAATTACCTTGCATTTAATTTTATTAATTATCAGTAAATGACCTTCCACGTTCTGCTGGCTTAAATTTCTCAGTGTCGGTGGAAGTATCGCTTGCTCTGTCCTCTGTGTTTTCCCCTTTTTTTTTTCTTTTTTTTTTTGGGTACATGGTTTTGAGACTTTTGTCGGCGGGATGGGTTTCAGACTGCAGCCCTTAAGTGAGTCCACAAAAGAAACCCACCAATCACGGCTGGGACCATCTCTAATTTGGCCCCTTGATTTTTATATACATCATTATTTATCCACCGTAGATCACTATTATAGGCCCCACTTTCACAAAATGTTTTAGAAAAAGACACTCAACCCTACAGTAGCTGAGCCTAAGAGAGAACATACATTATACTTCATTTCCACATTATTGTTTTTTGGGTAGACTTTTTATAAAAATTAAAAAATTATTTAAAATTACTTTGCCGTGATACTTAATTAGTACTAAAACTTTTGTCAATACATGCCAAAAACAAAAATTAGAACTTTGTCAAGGAGGTACACTTGCTTCTTTATCTCCACCATTATTAAAAATCATATTATAAAGAAAGATACAAAGTAAAACATTATCTATTAAACAAATAATACAAGTGCCTTGGAATTAGTAGATAAGAATTTAACATTCATTATTAAATAATTCAAATTCAGATCTTAAAATAAATATTGTATTAAAAGAATTTTACACAGAAAAAATCTATCTACTACCACAAGATCCATTATCATTATACATATATATATATATATATGTAAGTCAAATGATGAAAGAATTTATGGTTTTGGTCACGCTTGAAGGTAGGAGTGGAGCAAAGAGAGTGACCTAAACCTTATACCTTGGGGCATAAAATAAAAAGTGCTACTTCGTATAGTGGTTGAGGGTAGATCTGTCATTTTCTAGAAAAGAACAGGAGTGGTAGTTTCTTTTCTTTTCCTTCCTTAACCCGGGTCGTACGGATCTAGTAGTCAACTGTTAGGGGCAAATCGTCAATTCAGACTCACGACAACCTCTCCAGTTCTTCACGTGCCGTTTAGCTTTTTTGAAGTAAAAATAGGGGCCCAGATGAACAAAAAAAAAAAGTCAGGCTGCGGATGGTACTTGGCTCTATAGCGGTGGACCTTCCATTCGCTGCCGACACTTGGAATTTTTTTTCCTTCTATACCCCTGTTTGGATGCAGAAATTAGAGTTCCTAGAGCCATAAAAGGGTTGTCTATTCTGAGTCATGACTCATGATTTTGTTAAATATTACACCTTTTATTATTATTATAATTTTAATGGTTTATAGATTTTTTTTAAAATAATAATAAATTATGATATTTAAAACTATTTATTTATAAATTAAGTTTAATATAATAAATAATAAATTATTTATTATTAATTATTCTTAATAATAAAATTAAAATAATAAATTAACAAGTTGAGTGATCCTAACGGTCCTAGAAGGGAATTCTAACGGTCCCCGTTCTGTTGTGACGTGTTGAATTTTAATTTGAGTCACGTGGGGACAAAATTTTAGTGGCTTTTTTTTTTATATATTTTTTTTTCTTTGTCTTGCTTCTTCTTGATAAATTGCCTAGGGATTCCTCTATATACTTTATAATTTATTTTTTGGAATTATGCTAAATTAATTGTGATAATTTTGCAGTGAATGCGGATGAGTGTTTGTTGACTAGAATGCAAGAGATGTCACTGGATTACCATTTTACAGTGGAACAAGAAGTTGGATCAGCAACTCATGCCTTCTTTGGTTTCAATGGTAAAAAAAAAAAAAAAAATGAAATTTCTTAAAAATTTTCAATAAACAAGTATTTGAGAGGTACTGCTGTTAAGGAGTGGAATGAGCTAAACTTTATGTTATGTAGTATCCAAACAGTAAATTGTTTTCAGCATCAATTTTTTTGGGTCTAATTTTGATGTAGGAACTGCTGGGATATGGAGAATTGCTGCTATCAATGAGGCAGGTGGATGGAAGGACAGGACAACAGTGGAGGACATGGACCTTGCAGTCCGAGCTAGTCTCCGTGGATGGAAATTCGTCTACCTAGGTGATCTCCAGGTATTTTAATGTCACCCCAGGATCAATTTCATAATCATAGTTTATAAAAAAAACAGTCATTTTTCATGGTTATTGTGTTGGTCTTAATTTGTTTATTTTTACATTTAGGTGAAAAGTGAACTTCCTAGTACATTCAAGGCCTTCCGCTTTCAACAGCATCGTTGGTCTTGTGGTCCTGCTAATTTGTTTAGGAAGATGGTTTGGGAGATTGTTACAAACAATGTTAGTTCATCATTTAGCTTTAGAATCCCCCCTATCCCCCATTTTTTTTGGTTATTGTTCTCTACTTATGATGTTGATTTGTTTTAAAAAAATGTTGCAGAAAGTGAAATTCTGGAAGAAAGTCTATGTTATCTACAGCTTCTTCTTCGTCAGAAAGATTATAGCTCATATGGTCACATTTTGCTTTTACTGTGTGGTTCTTCCTCTCACCATTTTGGTACCTGAAGTTAAAGTCCCACTCTGGGGAGCAGTTTACATTCCTTCAATTATCACCATTCTGAATTCAGTTGGAACACCAAGGTCAGCCCTATATACCCTGAAATCTTCTTTTCTTTCATGTGATTTCCAGCAGCAAAGATTGAGATTTTCTCGGATTGCAGGTCTATTCACCTGTTGTTCTACTGGATCCTGTTTGAGAATGTGATGTCATTGCACCGGACTAAGGCAACAATAATCGGTCTCCTGGGGGCTGGTAGAGCCAATGAATGGGTTGTCACTGAAAAATTAGGAGATACACTCAAGAAACAAGAAGCTGCAAAGAAAGCAAATGTTAAAGCTCCTAGAAAACTTGGCTTCAGATTCAAATTTGCTGACAGGTAAAAGAACCCATCATTGTTACCTATACATCATTCTTAACTCAGCAACCAAATCTGCATATTATAAAGAAAAAAAAAATTGAAGAGACTTTCCATTTTATTATCTTTGCTTTCTTTGATGGTAGTTGAAATTCTTTAGGTTCACACCTTCTCAATTAACTAATGTCAAAAAGGGGTTCGATATGGTGCTGTTTTAATTAGTATCAGTTTTCTGTTTGGATTCAGTTGCTTGCATAAAGATAAGGGTCACCATACCTAACCTCACATTATTATTATTTAAGAAAAAAAATTCCATCCATCTGTCTAGAAGAATCTTCTAATGGTTGTGATTTGCTCTTTTGGTTTGCTTGAATTAACAGGCTGAATACATTGGAGTTAGGATTCGCAGCATTCCTTTTCCTCTCTGGATGCTATGATTATGTGCATGGGAAGAACTACTACTTTGTATACCTCTTCCTCCAAACAGTTACCTTCTTCATCACAGGAATTGGCTATGTGGGCACCATCATATAGTTACATAAATCCTCTTAGCCTTTATCTTGGTGTGCCAGTTTTCTTTTACCCCACAGCCCAATTATATGTATAAGTGGGGATCTGTCTGCAACATTTGACTACAAAATCCCTCTGTTAGCTCATTCAAAAACACAATAGGTCATTCATCAACAATTTCAGCACAAAAAGGTTTCGCCAATGTCTCCCACGAAAAAAGTGGTGAACCCAGAATTTACAAGAAAACAGATCTTGTTGCTATGCCAACAAGTTGAAGGAAATGAAGAAACAACCTGTGGTATCTACAGATAGCAGGGAGATTGTGTTCTTTCTTGAGATTTTTTTTTTTTTCTTTATAATTGAAACTTGAGTCTCTATTTATTAGTTTTATTTAAGTTTTGTTAAGGGAATAAGGTGATGATTCTGAAACAGGGTGAAGCTGTAATCATAGTTAATTTATCAATTCAAGTCTTATTGTGTTTACAGCTGCAGTTTCTATGCCACAAAAGCTGATGTTATGCAAACTAAATTTTCACAAAAGCACAACTGAATATAAACTTCTACAATGAAAATACTTCCAAACACGAATCATTACAGGTAGTATACATTAGACTTAGAACTCAAGTTTTCTGCTCTTTAACCAAGGCATTCTGATGCTTAGAAAAATGAAATGTTCAAATAAATTACTTCACAATGGCATGGATAACTTACTAGTCAAGTAACATGATGATCCACAAAGGTTAAGCCTGAATCAGACTCAACATGTTCCTTCTAAGACAAGGGTCATTATCTGCAAATAACTTTTACTCCTTCATTCAATGAGAGGCAGAGGGGAGGGCATGCTAATGGAGTATATAATATATCATAAAGTTTAAATTAGTGTATTGGGAAGGCCAAAAGATTTATTTTATTTAGATGACCAAGGTCTGCTAACAATAACTGGTCTTGTAAAAGTCAATTTTGATTTTTTTTTTTTTAATTGAAAACTATGGATTGTGGAACCTTCCAAAGCAAGTGTTCTAATGGGTTTGGTATATAAATAAAGAAGATTTTGCAGAAACATTGGGGGTTCAATTCAAGTCACAAAAACCCCTTAGGCCACATGACTCTGAACCAAGGAACTTGCAAGTATCCACTAGGGAAGAAAATGAATAGAAAATTTCATGGGATAATAGTAGTTTACACTTTTCCCCATTTGTATTGAGCCCATTACATGAACAATTTAAGGATACCAAACAACAAAGGAGCCATGAAGAAAGTTGAATTTTGGTATTGAGATGAGACCTCCAACTCAAAATCAATGGATATTAGGTGGAGAGATGAGATATTAGAATAATTAAAACTAAGAATAGAAAGAATCCCCTATTTAACTTATATAAGAAAATGGATCTAATGCTAAATATGGAAAAGAAAAAAAAGGACAAAATGAACAAAGAATATGAATTTGGCATCTTTGAGCAGTTGGGTTTTCTTTATATAAAAGACACCGAAATTAATCCAAGTACAAGAGTAAGTAGGAACAATTTGTTTTAAGTCTAATCCAAAAGAACATATAGCAAAAACATGGTCTCTTGATTTTCTTATGACTTTAGTGGGGTTAGGATTACTAACCCGCAGTTGAACTTGAGCATTGTTGTCAAAAGAATGAACTTGGTACATGGATACTAGAGGATTTGGTTGCCTAACTTGCCTTAACTGAGGTCAAGTTGTAATCAGGTTGCACTGGACCTGCCAACTGCTATTGCCCTTGAGTGTCAGTGAATATTAAAGGAATATGAAATCATGACAGGCAAAGTGCAGGGTTGTTTTTACCAAAAGATAAAGATAAATGAGAAAGAAATTAATTAAGAAAGATGCATCATATTTTGTCAATGTGTCAGTATTAATGTAACAACCAAACAGTGTCGGATTGAATTAATATATGTTGTGAATTATGGTGAGGAAATTTCTGCATTTGATTTGGACATAGCCTGCTAATTGGGGCAGGCAGTTCCTGGAAGCAACTGTAGTAAGGACCCTACCCTCCAATTCAGAGAGGAGCAATGGTAGGATATGTAGTAGACAAATGCATCTTCTCTGTGGCAAGGAGCTGTTCACTTCTGGAAAAAGCAAAACGATAGAATTGATGGAGTCATGGATTCCAGAAAAAAGACCAAAAATATGAAAGTGATATGTCATGAAAAATAAGTCCCACTCGCAATATATTAATTGCTGACATGTGACTGCAAGGACATATGGTCCTAAGCTTAATACAAACAAATTAATCCAAAGAATTTTGCCTCCACTAAACAAAGAGAATAAAGTAGAGGAGACTAATTAATCATTTAGATATTTATTAGCTAACGCTTTTAAACAGTCTAATGATAACTGCATTTCAGTAAAAGTAAGAAGCCTTGAAAAATCTCTTTGTACTCCTCACACGCAAATGAAAAAGGAGCTTAATTATAGCTCCCTCTGAAACAACGGCCCTTTATGGCTTTATCTTTTTCCCCATAGTACTGCTTTGTTAAAATTTCTCACATGATGTTGTGGGGTGCCATTTCTGTTCACGTGATGAAATTTAACATTTATGGAGCATTGCAGCTGGTTGATTTTCAAAGTACAGCAACTGTAAATTCTAAATGTTGTGTATACACAAACAGAAATACAAAAAAAAAAACTGTTAGTTGAGAAGTCTTCTCGCTTTGATGTGCTGGTGATGGGGTTGGCCTATCAAATCCAAAAACAACGCATCGGGTTCCATTTTTCTTACACTGTCCCATAACATGGGAAGCCACTAGGTCCCATTCTTCTGCTACTAAAATCTTGCCAAGCATCTTCCAATTATGCTCACTGAATATTACTTGTTGGAATCCCAAGGCAGGACGGCAGGACCTTTTCTAAATTCCAACAATTTATGTATGTATATATATCTCTTAATATGATTCTTAACTAGCTATCATGGAGTCAGACATTTGTTTTTTCCCTCAAGGATATGTATGTTTGGTTTGGGAGAAGATAATGACAAATATAATGAGACTATATTTAGTACAACGGTGAAAAGTCTTTTTGAATTCTAAAAGTTCCAACTACACTAAATACTATAATTTGTGAAAAATACTATAATTCCTCACAAGTTAGTTTTTTATCCATTTCCTTACAAATTTCAAAAGCACTGAATTGATACTTTTGCAGAAGTTTTTCATTTGAGTTTTAATGAAATTAACACATTATTCATATTTTATTTTTATTCTTCTTTTTATTTACAAAAATAACACTTCTATAATAGTTTTTTTCAACAAAACTTCTATTAAAAGCTCCAGTCACACCAAACGAACACTAAATCTTACTGGATGATTAGTTATCATACACTAGTTTGCATTTATATTTTTTGAAATAATATTTTCCATTTTTTATAGGAAAAAATTTGGGAGGGGAGAATTGGGCCTAAGAATCCAGCAACGGAAGGATGCGCTGACTGTCGGTTGTAAAGGACGAATGGAATGAGATCAGGCCTTGGTTGGATTGGTACTATCTAAGATGGGCCTTAACAACCTAAAACTAGTATCATAATAATGGCCAAGCACTTGAGTTTGAGCTCTAGAAGGTAATCCATAAAATGGGCTTAAGAAAATCCAGCAACGAAAGGGGATTGAACTTACGCCTTATTTAATTTGACCATCTAAGATGGGCCTTAATAACCGTAATAAGTACATTGTTACATAAGCCCAACAAAAAAATCCTAAAAATAATTCAAAAAATGCTGGCTGTGGGGTTCGAACCCACGCGCACTTATGTGCAGAAGATCTTAAGTCTTCCCCCTTAACCTCTCGGGCAAACCAGCAGGCAAACTCTCCTTCTGTGATCGAAAAAGCGAAAACAAATTATTTACGTCTGGAAAAATAAAAATTCGAAGCACCTAGAAGAATCATCAGATTAATAATCCAACCGTCGGATCGCGGAGAACCCCCGTTCACCATATAATCGCGTCTCAGGCCGCCGGAGATCTCGTTTTCCTTTAATCCACCTTGGCGGATCATCAAGGAAGTCTCTGAAGAGGAAGAGAAGAAGACGTGATAGCTATGGCGGAGCACTTGGCGTCGATTTTTGGGACGGAGAAGGACCGGGTGAACTGTCCGTTCTACTTCAAGATAGGTGCCTGTCGGCACGGTGACCGATGCTCTCGCCTCCACACCAAACCGAGCATCAGCCCTACGCTCCTTCTCTCCAACATGTACCAGCGTCCTGACATGATCACCCCAGGCGTCGACGGCCAGAGTAATCCTCTCGATCCTCGCAAGATCCAGGAGCACTTCGAGGTACTTCGTTACAAAATCTAAATCTACTGTTTCGCTTGTATTATTGTTAGATTAGGGTATTTGTTCTTAAGAGTAACGATTAAGCTATGGATTCCATTGTTATTAGATAGGATTTTCTCTTGATTAAGATTGTTTATTGATGTAATTCCCGTCTTTAATAATCTTTTATTGGTGCTCTTTTTTCACCTTTGAGATTGAAGAAATTCAGCTTAAGAGTACTAAATAGATGGATGGTTTATTGTTAGTTATGGTTTAATGTTTTCATTTGAATTTGTAGGCTTTCTATGAAGACCTTTTTGAGGAACTGAGCAAGTATGGTGATATTGAGAGCCTGAATGTCTGTGACAACCTTGCGGATCACATGGTAAAATATTTCTGTTTGAGATACATACTAACAATCTCTTCTTTTTTTTTTCTTTTTTTTTACAAAAAAAGAAAAAAAAAATCTTTATATTGTTGAGGGTGAATGTGAAGCTCACTTAAATCTCTATGTGCAGGTTGGGAATGTGTACGTTCAATTCAGAGAAGAAGAGCATGCTGCAAATGCACTGAAGAATCTGTCTGGAAGATTTTATGCTGGTCAGTGTCGTCGTTTCTTTAATACTAGTTTGTATGTTTTGGGCAATATTTGGAATCTCAGATAGCATTACCCTTTGTTGCAGGCCGTCCCATCATTGTTGACTTCTCACCTGTGACCGATTTCCGTGAAGCCACCTGTAGGCAGTATGAGGAGAACACATGCAACCGTGGTGGATATTGCAATTTTATGCACCTGAAAAGAATCGGCAGGTAGGATGTTTGGTGAATTAGTATTGACTATGTTTGAACCGCGAATGCCACCCTGTTTATCTGAATTCCTTTTCTGGTCTGTGTTAGGGAGTTGAGACGCCAATTATTTGGAAGAAACAGGCAGCGTCGAAGTCACAGCCGTAGTAGAAGCAGAAGCCCTTACAGGCATCGTAGTCATGAAGGGCACTCTCATGGTAGTCGTGGCCGTGGTAGGAAGTATGATGACAGGGAGCGTTATCATGAAAGTAGGAGCAGAAGGCATAGAAGCACAAGTCCTAGCCATAAGAGAGGACGAAGCAGGAGCCCTGGTGGAAAGAGAACTCGTAGTCCAGTTCGTGAAGGAAGTGAGGAGAGGCGTGCAAAAATTGAACAGTGG